ATTTACATTTACATTTGTTTGTAGGTATTTTTTAATTTCATCTTTAATTTTCTCTGTGACCCATTGGTTGTTCAGGAGGTTGTTGTTTAATTTCCAAGTGTTTATGGAGTTTTTGGGGTTCTTTTTGTCATTAATTTCCAATTTCATTGCACTGTGGTCAGATAATATGCATGGGATAATTACAATTCTTTTGCATTTAGGTAGGTATGTCCTATGAGCTAGAATGTGGTCTATTTTAGAGAAAGTCCAGTGTGCAGCTGAGAAAAATGTATATTCCGACATTGTGGGGTGGAACGCTCTGTATACATCTACTAAGTCCATTTGTTTGCAGCTTTGGTTCAGATCTGTTATTTCCTTGCTGATTTTCTGTCCACTTGACCTATCTTTTTGTGTCAATGGGGTGTTGAGGTCCCCTGTTACAATAGTGTTATTAATTATATGGGTTTTCATGCCTGTTAAGATTTGTCTTATATAATTTGGAGCTCCAATATTTGGTGCATACATGTTTATGATTGTTATCTCTTCCTCTTGTAGTTTTCCCCTGACAAGTATGTAGTGACCTTCATCTCTTTTGACTGTTCTTGATTTGAAGTTTACATTGTCTGCAAACAAAATAGCTACACCTGCTTTTTTCTGGGTTCCTGTTGCATGAAGGATTGTTTTTCATACTTTGACTTTCAGTCTATGGATTTCCTTTTGAGTAAAATGTGTTTCCTGTATACAGCATATCATTGGATTTTGTTTTGTAATCCACTCTGCCAGTCTGTTTCTTTTGACTGGTGAATTGAGGCCATTTACATTTATGGTTATAACTGATATGTGTTGCTTTATCATTGTCATGTTATTTACTTGCATTGGTTTCCTACTTTTTCTACCTGTTTACTTGCTTGCTCTTCTTTCCTTTCTACTGTTATTCTTGAAATTGCGGTCAGATTTTTCTCTGTCTAGAATATCTTTTAGTACTCTTTGCAATGCTGGTTTGGCACTCATGAAGTTCTTCAAATGTTCTTTGTCGTGAAAATATTTTATTTCTCCGTTGAATTTGATGGATAATTTCACAGGATACATCAGTCTTGGTTGGAAGCTGTTTTGTCTCAGGACCTGTAATACTTCACTCCAAGCTCTTCTTGATTCGATGGTTTGTGCTGAGAAGTCTGCCATGATTCTGATGGGCTTTCCTTTACAGGTAATCTGTTCCTTTTCTCTAGCAGCTTTTAATAGTCTGTTCTTTTGCTAGAGATCTGGGAACTTGACTATTATATGTCTGAGTGTAGTTTTATTTTGGTTGTGGTTGGTTGGAGTTCTATAGGCCTCATTTACTGTTTATCAGGTTCTGTTTCCATACTTGGGAAATTTTCTGCTATGATTTCTCCAAATATTCTTTTTATGTCAGTTGCGTTGCCTCCTGCTGTTTCATTGACTCCTATTAGTCCTACATTATTCCTCTTTGCCTCGTCCTGTAGCTGTTGAATTATTTTTTCTGGATCCTTGTTGATTTTAAGAGATCCTTTCTTGCACAGTTGCTAGCTGCCATGCTGTCTTCAATACCTGAAATTCTATCTTCAGCTTCATTCAAGCGGTTTTGGCAGCTTTCAATGGAAGCTTTGTTTTCCTGGAAGTCTCTTTGAATCTGTTTTATGCGTTCTAAGTCCTCTCTATATTTTTCATTTAACATTTCCATCCATTGTCTTTGGTCTTCTATTTTCTTATATGTTTCTTCTTCAGACGTTTTGAGCAGTTCTTTCATTATTATTGTCATTTTCTTTTTTACCTGAGAGATTATTTCTGATCTCATCTCTTCTATGGCCTTATGGAGGTGTGTCTTTACTTCCATTTCAATCATTTCAGCAATTTCAGGCATGTGTTTACCAAGTTCTTCTATATAGATGTCTCCTGGACTTGTTCTGAGTGGGGTAGAGTTCTGGGATTGTGTTTTAGTCCTTTGTCTTGTCATGTTTGATACCAGATGCAGAAAGCTCAGTTTCCTTCTTCAATGACTGCACAGCAAAGGCCACTAGTGTCCCTAGTTTTCCAGTTGGTCAGGTTTGCCCCTCAGTGTCTTCTGAGAAGCACTACTTAGTCTGCGGTTTTCTGGCAGTTGTTGATTTGTATCTAGTTATCCCAGGTCTCAGACATGGGCATTGGTGTCAGCTGATGGCAGACTATCTGATCCAGCATCCGCTTGCAGTTCAGGGCATGTGCATGGCCCAGACTCAGGTTGCACTGGTGTGACAATTCAGGTCCAGTGGACCTATGTCCCCAGGCAGTTCAGGGTACAGGCAAAACCCAGACATGAACTGCAGGGTCAACAGTTGTGGACCACCTAATTGTGTCTCCAGTTAGTTCAGGATGCATACAGGAACCAGATGCGGGCTGCACAGACAGCAATCACAGACTGCCCATGCCTGCTACCCCCCAGTGGGTCAGAGCACAAGTAAAGCACGGACTCGAACTGTGGTACCAGCAGCTCTTGGAGCCCTTGATCACTCAGCTCAGGGCACGTGCAGGGAGGGCCCACTCGCAAACCCTGGTGAGAGCAGTCCCCGGGACTTCTGAGTGAGGAATTCATGTCTGCCATGAGTGCAGGGAGGGCAGAGACTCAGACTGTAATCGCACCGGGGTCCTGGGTCACCTGCTCTGCCCCCAGGAAGTAGATGGGAAATACCTGTCTCTCTCCATGACTTTCAGCTGGGAACTATGGTGGGAGTGGGTCACAGCCTGCCTGGTTCTGCTTCTTAGTCAGTTCAGGACATATGAAGGACCCAGACCCAGGCCACTCAAAGAGCAATCACAGACTGCCCGTGCCTGTGACCCTCCAGGGGGTCGGGGCGTAAGTAAAGCACAGACTCAAACCACGGGACCAGCAACTCTTGGAGCACTCACTCACTCAGCACAGGGCCCATGCAGGGAGGGCCCACACGCAAACCCTGGTGAGAGCAGTCACCAGGGCTTCTGAGTGAGGAATTCCTGTCTGCTGCCCATGAATATAACATTCTTGAAATGACAGACTTATAGAGAACAGGCCAGTGGTTGCTAGGGACTAGGAATGGAGTTTGGTATAGACAACATCTTTGTGAAAATGGCCCATTCTGCATCTTGGCAAACCTACACATGTGATAATAGTACATAGCACTAAGAATGAGTGCACATACACATGCACACACATGAGCAAAACTGGGGAGATCTGGTTAAAGTAGGTTGATTCATCCAATCCATGTCAATATCCTGGCTGTGAACTGTGCTATAGTTTTGCAAGGTGTTACCACTGAGGAAGGGAGGAAAGCATACTTTATTATTTCTTCAACTTCATAGAACTCTACAGTTCCCCCCAAAAGAAAACATTTGACTAAGGGAATAAAAACTGTAATTAATCATAAGCAAATGTTGATATTAACTTAAGTACCCCCCTTTCCCCTTACAGCCCTTTAATCAGACCATGACAGTCGATATTGACTGTAGAATCCATCGATGAATATGGGGCATGACCTGCACACAAGGCCCTAACAGGATGCAGACACTGCTGCCATCATTACTACTGATTAGGGAGACATGACCCAAAAGGCATATTTGTGTGTGCAAAGACCAGCTTTGAAAGGGGGGACATTAAATCTTTGCAATGTTTCTCCAGGCCTGGTCTGTACACACACATCTAAGCAGAGGATTCTGCTCCCACCTAGTGAATTTGCAGTCATATCCACAGCCAGAGTGGGCAATTCAGGCAGATTGTTTCTGCTCGAATGGTCGAGGTAATTGGAGAATTGATACCCAACTTTGCCTCCATTCAGAAGCCTTCACCCTTTCTCCTTAAGCATTTCTTAGAAATGTTACATTTTCATTTCTGTTTCCTCATCTGGGTTCCACCCTGTTTTAAAGATACAGTCAATACAGGAGGCATGCCAAGCTATCTTATCCACATTCAACACAATTACATTGAAAATAAGCCACTCTGGAAGACAGTCCCCAGAAATTAATTATCACACAGAAAGTGAATACAAGGGCCTTTTGTTATTGTGATAATGAAATCACTACCACCTTAATACTCTTGAACTCAATCATGCCTCTGTTGAATTTCTGCTGAATAAACTGAGAAAAATATTGCAATTTACTCTCCAAGGAAATTCACTGTTTAGTACAACAACTGTTTTTTTGTTGCACAGGCTAGTGGAGAGTCTAGAGATCCACACAAAGCTGGAAGCTTCCTTGGCTGCTGAAGATGGATGAGAGGCCCCCTCCTTTTCCCTTTTCTCTTTGCTGTTATTTTGCATTCCATTGAAGTATTAATCTATATTTTGGAGAAAAACTGCTAAGACTTTTAAAAATATGTTAATAGGCTACACTCCTCCCAGCCACTGGCTTAGTGCATTGCTGTGGCTCTTTATTTGACATGCTTCATGGGTTGGTGTTGAGTTTAGATACTGAAGCAAACTAGCCTATTAAATACTGTGCTGTAAATATAAACCTTTATGAACCTCTTGGGACGGTCCTTCTAAAATGTGAATTAAGATATTCTATGATTCAAGCCCATAAAGAGAGAAGTAGCCATCACCCTGCGTAGTAATTTGCTTTCTGAAACCTTCAAATATAAATTGCCTTTTGCCAGTGCTGACTGAATTCTGAATTGATGTGTGTGATAGTCACTAATGATGAAGTTTTTAGAAATACTTCTTTTAAAAGAAGCTCAAACTGTGTTGGGCTATTGTGGTCTTTGACATATCCTTCTTTTACTTAAGGGCTATTATTTGCTTGTTTGTTTCTTGTTTAAAGAGCCACCGTATTTTACTGCTGAACCGGAGAGTCGGATTTTAGTTGAAGTGGAAGAAACTGTGGACATCGTGTGTCGAGCCATGGGTGAGTGCGGGCAGTGGGTGGACCCGAGACTGGTGTGGAGGAAGGACAATGACAGTGTCATCCTTCCAGGGAGGCAGTGAGTGCACAGATTGAGAGCTGACTGTGGAGTGTGGAAGAACCCAATAACCAGGCCATGGCCTTGGGGAAGCCCTCCACCTGGCCCAGCTCCTGCTTCCTTGGTAACACTGATCTTTACCTTCTCCCCACCTCCTCCATCTCAAACAGAGAGGCTACAGCATAGCCTGGGGACTCTCCTCCAGGTGCTCAGGTTCCATAGGCTGTGACCTCTGGGCTCATCCCCTCAGGAAACTCATCCTTGTGAGTGGACGGCCAGGACCAGTACACATAAGAGATCTTTTTACACTTTTATTAAATAAGAAATTTTCCTACTTTTCTGCCTTACCAGTTTTGCTTTGACTTTCCTTTGTTCTTTGGGTAATTCTCTCTTTCTCCCCTGCCTTGGCTGCTAGCTCCCCACCCAGGTCAGGCAGCGCCGAGCTTTCCATAACTCTTCAGGGAAAGGATCTCCTCAAGATAAGTTCATTGACAAAACCTGTGTTTGGATTCTGGCACCTGCTGGGAAGTCCAAGCATCATTTCCTGATTGTGTAGACCCGGTATCTAAAGAGTGTTTTCTCCTGCCTCCCCATGAGCTGGGAGGATAAGGGTTCTATCTATTGTGTAAACCTTTGAAACAGTTCACTAAGGAAGATATCATCTCATTGTACACATGGAAAAGCCAAGCCATAAATAGCAAGGTTAAGCAGTGTGCTCAGAGCCATGAAGATAGAAGGAGATACTGCTTGTAAAATCATCACCCAGTGCCAGGCATGTAGGAGTTGCTCATTAAATGCTGGGGTCACATGCTTATGGAGACAGGATCCAAACCCTGATTTGCCAGCTCCTCCAGGATACCTGGCTTCTAGGGGCCTGAGGCCTTGGGCTCAGAGCAGACACCATGCTCTGTGGGTACACCATGCTGTGTAGGTGTATGTCATTCTTCATTTCTAAAAGTGAGGGCTGTGTTGCTCTGAGCAGCGTTGGTGGCAGAAGCACCTGTGGTTTGTGCAGCTCTGCTCCTGCCCAAAGGACCTGTTTCCTTCATCACCCTATCCTAGCTCCTGGTTACCTCACAAGGGCCACCCTCTACAAATCTGCTCTGTTCCTGTTCTTGTTTTGGCTCTACTGACATAGCTGTAGGGGAGGGGAAGGAGAAGGAGAGAAGAGAGAATTCTGAATTTTAAGTGGATATACCTTCCTTGCTGTTGTTGCATTGTTCTTTCTTGTATAAACATCAGTTTCTTGAGGACAGCTCTGTGAATGTGATGCTATAAAATATTTAGAGTGCTTATATTTCAAAAATGAGAGTATACACTATTGTGGGGGTACTATTTCTGATTATGGCATTAAATTGCCCCCAAGTACAAATACTCCTATGTACTAACAATTATTTTTCAATAAATGACAGCCCCAAACTCTTCCTTTGATAAGAGAATGCCCTTTTTGCATGATTTCTACAGGACAAACTGCTCATTAAGCATAGACTTACAAATATATATCAAGCAGGTCTTTCAGCATTGCTTTGCCATCATATAATTTACTGCTTTCTGTTAATTTTGACAATGAAACTCCAGCAGCATGTGAAGTGGGGATTCTTTATGAAAGCTACATCATGTACTTGCCATTATGAGATTTTACATGAATTGGTTATGCTTTTACCTTGAAATGGATTTTTTAAAATTTCCTGTTATAATGAAAGGTGACAGGAAACATAATTAAGGCAAAGAACAGAATCTGAGAACACATTATCTTGAAATATCCATGATATTAACTTTATTTATTAAAATGGACATATTGCCCCTGCCTACATAACCTCTTGAATCAAGGGATTTGGGTATGCCTGCCACTGAATCATAGTAAGATGTGCTTTTATTGCAATCCATTTTATATTTAGGGAAACTGAGGAACAGAACCATCTGAGGTCTAGAACTAAATCTAAGTATTTCTTCACTTCCCCATGCCTGCTGTATGTCTGGAGTGCATTGTCTTGCGTGGGTTGGTCTGGCTCTGTAGGAGTCTTTTTAGCCTACCCAGTTCTTGGGTAGGAATGGCTTCCTGGACTCGAAGAAGTGTCAGGGAGAAGTCCCAGGAAAGAAGACTTCCTCGTTGCTAGTTGTCCAGCCATGTGGAGAAGGCACTAAGAGAAGAGCTTAGTGTCTCCAGCCCAGGGCTGCCCCACACAACATGGCAGCACTCATCATCAGCACCTGGGTTATGTGTCCTGACCTCAGTTGTGTATAGGACAAGCCACAGACATCCTCACACTATTAGGCCAAGGACAGACTCTTTTATTTACAACCCAGGTTCTGCCCTTTGTGAACTTGCCCTGTTTCCATAGGCTGCACTCTTCCCAACCTCACCCTACCCTCCTTCCAGGCTGGCTGAGCAGTTCTCAAGTCCTCATTTCTTTCTGTAACACCACTGCAGTGAAGAAGGGGCAAGCAGGAGTAGTGCTATGTGCTGAGCCTTTCTGGCCTTCCCATCCTCCTAATCTAACTCTTGGCCATGTTCCTGGATCACTAGGCTCCCAGGGAATAAGAAAAGAGCCACGCTGCAGCCCCTTGTGCCCTCTGCCTATCTCATGTTGATCCTATGGACTGATATCCACAATATGACACTGCTCCTATGTCTTCCCCTTTAACCTGACACATCTCATGTACTTGTCACCCCACCTGATGACTTGCCCTCCGGTTCTGTCGGCTTCCATTCCAATGAGGAATGTCAGCCCCTTGGACAGAGGGTGTATTAATCACTTTTTTATTGCTGGGACAAAATAGCTGACATCTGAAACTTCAAGGGGGAGGTTTTTTGGCTCATGTTTTCGGAGGGTTCAGCCCACAGTCAGCTGGCTCCAAGGAAGAAGTAGCATGGCAGACACATATGTCAGAGGAAGGCTGCTCAACTCATAGCAGCCATGTAACAGCAAAAAGGGAAGGAGCCAGAGAGAAATGTACCTTCCCAAGGTACTTATCCACCTTCTCCAACTGGGCCCCAGCTCCTAACATCACACTTAGTCATGAATTCATCAATGGATTAATCCACTAATGAGTACAGAACCCCTTATAGGTAGTTGAAAGGGTAAATAGATGACAAAATGTGTGTGAAGATATTGCCAGGTTAGCCTTTCAACCAGTTTTGCCTCAGCTGTCATATAAGGGACTATTGGAATTTAATTCTTTTAAATGCTCCTTTACTTCCACTCCTACCCAGGGGTCCCTCTCCCCACCCTCCAGTGGTACAAGGATGCTGTCTCCATCAACAAGCTCCAGAACCCTCGGTACCAAGTAATGCCCAGTGGAGGCCTGCGTATCCAGAAGCTGCATCCAGAGGACTCTGGAATCTTCCAGTGTTTTGCCAGTAATGAAGGAGGGGAGATCCAGACCCATACCTACCTGGATGTAACCAGTGAGTACCACCCCTCAGCAAAACCAGGCAACCTAGATGGGCCTTCCAGTCAGACTTTCCCACATTATGCCCTGTGTGATACAGAACAGTGGCATCCCTCAGCACCTGACATGAGTGGATGGGCCAGAGGGTTCTGTGGCCAGAAGTGACCCGCGGGGGAGGGCTGTACCACAGGCACGCATCAATCCACTTTAGGCCCCCTAGGAAACCCTGCCAAATCCCATAAGCATCAAGGACAAGCTGGTCTCTCCCAGTGCCTGGATTCCTCCTCCTGTGGTCCCCACCTTCCAGCATTTGTGCCTTCCTCTTTCTGAAAGGGAGTAAAAAGTGGTCCCAAATTTTTCTGGACAGAGCCAGAAACACAACAGAGTGAACAGCTCAATCCTAATCATTTTCTTTTGATCTTTTTCCCATTTTTTTATATCCATTCCCATTTTAGTTTTATTGAACAATTATAGTTCTTTTGTGAGTTTCTTTTATTATCCCATTAACAGCAATACCTTGGTACTCTATCTTTGAAAAATAAAATAAAGGTAAAGGTTTTCACTATATCTGTGGGTTTTCTTTTTAATCTCCCACAGTCGTAATATTGTTCTTCTAAAATGAAGTAGAATTTAGTGATTATGGAATTACACCTTTCATGTTTGCCCTTTTGGAAGCAAAGTGCTGATGTCCTGGGGTGTGAGAGCCATTGAGAAGGCCAATCGATAGCAGTGTGCACGTGGCTAGTGGCTTTTATCAGTCAGGGCACGTGAAGAGACTGGGACAGTTTTTAAGGATCCACACATCTATTGTGCTAAACCCACGGTCACTTCCCTGACCTTGGCCCAGGGATCAAATTTCTGCTCTCTGTTGGACCATAGAAAATTAATACTGCTTCAAGTAGTAGAAATAATACTGGATGCTTAAGCCAGAAACTGAGTTCTGGTCAACTAGAATGATTTAAAGTCTGCCATGCAACTAGTCAGGATGTTCAGGGACAGGGTTTGGCCAGGTATTTTTTTAAAGGGTCTCATTGTAAATATTTGAACTTTGAGGCACAAGGACTCTCCCAGCAGTTCAGCTTTGCTATGGTAGTGTAGAAGCAGGAGCAAATGGGAGTAACTGAGTTCCAATAAAACTTCATGCAGGCAAATAAGTAATGGCTTAAATTTGGCCCACAGGTTATAGTATACAAATTCACTTAATCAGAGGCCTTGGAACTGGAGGATGGAGTGGTCCATGATGCTCATCTAATTTCTTTCAGTCTCAGTTTCCTTGTCTGTTCATCTGGAACTGTTTTCAGGGTTCTGAGTGTCAGACTGGAAATTTAAATGCAAGTATTTCCTTAAATTGTTTGCCACGATGATAATGCTTCTTATCATGTTCTAAGTATAGGGCTTTTTTTTTCACAAAGAGGATTTATTTTTCCCAAATGAAGCTATCCATAATGAAAGGAAAATGTTTAAAAAATAATACTGAATCATTGGTGCAGCCTACAGTTACTGAGCATCTGGTCAGGCTTTGGGGTATAGCCATGAGGAACACCTATGTTCCAGGACAGAAGGTGATTAGGGGAGAAAGACAGAAAGGAGAAAAGAGCCTGGCCCAGAGTGGGTGCCATGGGAGGACAGGTGAGCCACAGAGCGATGGATAGGAGGGTCTCCAAGGTGACATTGAGATGAGAGCCGAAGAAAAGGGGACCACCTTGGAATCTTGGAGACATACCTGTCTCAGAATTAGTGAGGATTGCAGGGGCCCCTGAGGGAATGAGCCAGCCCTCACTTGTGAGTCTCCATCTGTGTGCAGGTGAGGGGTGGCAGGTGGCTGGGATGGAGTAGGAAACAGGTGAAGGATACACAGGGGCTGGAGGGCTGGTGACAACCAGAGGCACTGCTCTAAGTGCAGGTGAAGTCCCTGGGGTGTTCGTAGGTGCTGGCCCCGGCAAGCCAGTAGGTTTGTGAGGCAGGAGCAGAGGCACCAAGACCAGCAAGATCCCCTGTGTCATCTAGACAAGACCCGGAGCTCAAGGGTTCACACCTGTGGTGGGGAGAAACAGCTTCTGGGTGGGCGGTAGGAGGGGCCCCAGGACTACCTGTGGCCTGCCAGGATGCTGACCACAAGGAAAAAGGTGGCTGCTTCACCTTGGTCTCTTGGGTCCTGCCTAATTCTCCCAAGGGACTGTCACACAGGCTCTGAGCACAGGGATTCCCTGCTACACTGAGTTACCAGCATGGTTGTTGTCAGGGGAGGACAGTCGGCATACCCTCACCCAAACCAGTCTGCTCACATCTGTCCCTGAGCCAGGGCTGGTGGCCCATGCAGGCCCAAGAGTGGGAAGCACCCTGACACCTGGGGAGGGGGACCTTTACTGGGGTCCTGGCAACCTGGTTATTTCAATTCCCAGAATAGATCCTAGAAAACATGAATGTGTCATCTTGTGGTAGATATTTTACATTCAAAAAATAGCTTTTCCTTTTAGTTAAAGAACAGAGGTAATTTGTTTGGTTTCTCTGAATAAATGCCTCCCCTCTCTTTAGCATTCACTAGAACTATTCCTCCTGGGCCCTGCATTTGGCAGCTGTGTATCTCATTTCTCTTTAGGTTGTAAGCAAAGATAGGTAATTCCTGGGAGACAAATAACAGGGAGGTTATAGTTACTCCTGAAATGTTTTTCCTTTATACCACTGTTATCTGTGCAACTGGTTCTGCAAAGTCAGTCTGGAACTCTCCACCAGGCTGTCTCTTTGGTCCTGCCCACTTAGGGATGAAGCACTGAGCACTCACTACCTTAATTCCTCTCCGCAGATGTTGCCCCAACATTTACCCAGCGTCCAACCGACACCACAGTGACTGACGGGATGACAGCTGTCCTACAATGTGAGGTGTCTGGGGCTCCCAAGCCCGCCATCACATGGAAGAGAGGCAGGTGGCTTCCACTTTCCAGACCTGCATGACCCAAGTAGAAAACAAACCATCAAGCCACTGTTGTGTTCAGTTCTTTTTGCACTCATCCATCTAGTCATCCATTCAGTAATGATTAAATAATCGTTAACCATTTACTGAATGCCCCTGCTAGGTACCAGGGCTGAGGATGAACAGGATAGACAAGACCCCAGCCTTCTAGAAGAGGAAGCAGACATTTAAAAATAAGATTTGTACAAATGTCACTCTCTTTTACCTAAGCCCTCCTAAAGTGCCTTCAGCCCCCCATGGCCCCTTAAAATATTACATATTGGATTTGAACTAAATTGGGAAGTTCTCTTTTTTCTCTCTCTGTACTCTGTTGGCATCATTCTACACCCTCTGCAGTTCGACCTGGTAGGCTTAGTTTGAACTGTGTTCCCAGTTCCTATGAAGAGTCAGGTCATGTCACAGGCTGGCTTTGTGGCCCCCATGACCTGTTTTACAAGTCAGGCACATGGACAGAGCCTGTCTGGAACAAGGCTGTGCTAAATTGCATTAATTCATGTAGCTTGATGAGTCAGGCTTGGAGGGTTGATCTGGAGGAAACTTCAAAACTCACATCTAGTCCACATTGCCAGAAGCCTGTATGGTAGCTTTTCCACCTCAGAGTGTAGTTCTGCTACTGTCAAATCTCACTGGGAAAGATTTGTGTGTGTATGTGTTTTTTTCTTGGGCCCAGGGCCTGCACACTGTCACACTAAGCTATGTCTTGTCTTTTTTAATTCTTATTTTGAGACAAGCTTTCACTAACTTGCCCACGTGGGGCTTAAGCTTGAGATCCTCCTCCCTCAGGCCCCCAGAGAGCTGGAGTTACAGGTGTGCACTACCATACCCTGTTTGCTTCTTTTATTTTAAATGTTTCCTATTTTCTTTCCTAATCTTTAACATAATCATAGCTTCATGTAGAAAAATTTCAAATGCATATAAATACACAGAAACATAAAAACCAGTCACCCACAGTTAATGATCCTGTACACAGATCATATTTGTTTAACCATGTCTCTCAATATTGGACAATTAGGATGTTCTAATGCTAAGAATGCGAAGAAAAGTACTGTGGTTATTTTTGCACATAAAATTTTCTCTTTAATTATTTCTTTAAGTTATTTTCTTGGTCGTTGCCCTATTTCTTTCTTTTCTTTCAAGGGTTATGGCTCTAATATTCCTGTTTTTTCTACTGGTCTTCAGGAAACCACATTTTGGCAAGTGGCTCTGTGCGGATTCCTAGGTTCATGCTGCTGGAATCTGGGGGTCTGCAAATAACCCCTGTATTCATCCAGGATGCCGGCAACTACACCTGCTATGCACTCAACACTGAGGGCTCCCTGAACGCGTCTGCAGCGCTCACCGTGTGGAGTAAGCCCACAGTCCCAACACCTCCCGCTCACCAGCCTCTCATCAGCACGGCACGATGCCTCGGGGATGGCAATATGCCCTTGACTTTCTCGCTTAATCAAAGAAAATGATTATTTTTGCAACTAATTTACAGAAATCTGTTGAGTAATTAATTTTTTAGTTTGTAGAAGAATAACTAGAAGTTGTATTCCAAGATTTAATGGGAATGTTTCAGGAGAGATAAAAGACTTTCTAAAAGTCAGCGCAAATGTCATACCTAACTAACTCAGTAACAAAACTGATTATTGATTAATTTTATAAATTAAATTAAAATCCTAAAGGAAGCATATTTTTTCTATACTACCTCATGATCAAATATACCTCCGGTTTAGTTGTCTACACGTTTCTTATATCTTAAGAGCAAACTGGAAGAAAATCTTTATTGTTTCTCCAGGTATTCTCATTCCTATTTTATCCATGATACTAGTGTCTGAAATGCAGAATAAGTTGTTTTCTGGAGCATAAGGATTAGAGTATCATAACCACCCTCCCGCCTTTTAACTTCAAGTGTCAAAGTATTTTTTCCTCTCTCTTTCGTACAAATCTATATTATTAAAAACTCATTTTTCAAAACAGCAAAAGACAGTACTCACTAACAGATTTTCATAAGGCCATATAATGAGGAGGGAAAGTTTTAACTCGCTTGAGTGAATAATATGTTAAAATGTCAACCTAAAGAAAAATCATTGTGCTTCATTTCATATTTGTTTAGCATTTTCTATCATACAGTTGGTGTCCACTTTGATAAATGATCCTTTTCTAACTTATTAGGTGTTATAAAAACATCAAGAGCTTAAAATAAATGAATCCAAATTTCCACAATATTGGCAAGTACTAAAAAAGAGATTTTGTTCCATTTGGCGGTTGGACTCAACTAATTCTTATTCATCATATGTCCCTAAAAATTGACCATGCATTTAAAATCTTGCACAGAAGTGAGTTCTGAATCTCTATAGCTCGCTCACCAAAAAACTTTGTAGATCTGTTAGGATTCAAAATTGTAATCATCCTAGAATCGGTGGCCTACAGATCATTTGCAACCTGTATTACCTATGTTAGCCAGTACAGCTTGTAGTGACAGTAGCATGTCCTTTCATTGACAAGAAAACAAGGCTCGGAAACACGTTTCTTGATGCACTGGTAGCAAGTGATCACACTAGGCCTTAAACCTAGCCTTACGACTCCCCAGTTCTAGGCTTTTTGTGTGGCACCATCATGCCACTCCCACCCTTGCAAAGGTGTGTGTGGTGTGGGGCCACACCTTGCATGGGCTGCATACAGGGAGGGCTGTGTTCTTGATGTTAGTGGTGGAGCCTGGGGGTCCTGCCTCTCACGAGCTGTGTGATACTGGGCAAGTGTCAGTGTTCCCGAGCATTTGGTTTCATCCCTGACATTACAGCCTTCAGCAGATTGCTGTGAGGATTAAATAAATTAACATAAATGAAAGCACTGTGTGAAGTCACAAAGTGCTGTGAGAACATTAGGAATTGCTAAAATGGTGATCTTGTTGAAGAATCTGGATTTTAACCAATCTTCTATCCACGATCTTCTAGGAAAGGAGGGTCCTGAAGACTTGGGAGAGGGAGGTTAACTGCCTTTGCTGGCAGTAGAAAGCCTTGTTTGAAATTCTCTGAACATTTCTGAGCACTTCCATCTGTACTCCTTTTGCCAAGATAAGAGGAAATTTGGAGGTTTTGATGTCAGATGACCAATTCATCATCCCCCTGAGGGCAAAGGCTCCCAAACTCACAATGTCATCTGAGCTGTGACTTGTGTTGTTTCAGATCGAACCTCTATCATTCACCCTCCTGAGGACCGTGTGGTGATTAAGGGGACCACGGCCACTCTGCGCTGCGGAGCCACTCACGACCCCCGGATTTCTCTCCGGTCAGCTCAGGCAGTTACGATACTTTGGGGCCTATTAATATTCTGTGAGCTTATAAGGAGAGTAGAGATGAAGAGGAAGAATTTGGGAACTTTGATTTCAGTGGAAGGTCCCTGATTACAGTATCTTACAGTCACGGGCTCCATCATTAATCATACGAATCCCATTTTCCACTCCAACCTTATGTATTATTTACAGTGAGCTATGTTCAACTTCATGAGTTCAATACAGCTTTTCATGATTTTTCTGCCAAGGTTAATACACTATCTGTAAAACGTACTTGTCAGGGACTGATACCTAATGAGAGAAAAATCCAGAGGGATGGAATAGGATTTCAGCAGTGTTTACACGGGGCTCTACAGTACTCACAAGGGGTTTTCTCGACTCCGAGGTTGATTCTGTTATGAAATAGAGACCAAGGAGTGCCTATATGCAGAAGAAAGGCAGCCACAGTCGCTCAAGGCACTAAGGGGAAAACACATGTGAAGAAGGGAAGTGGGTCACCTGGCTAGAGAGTTCCTAACATAATTATGATACCCTGTCTTGGTTTGAATTTGGTCTGGAGAGTCATAATAAAAATCATGGCCCTCCAGGGAGAGTGTGGTTACAGACACACACTGTCCAAAGAGCAGCATTTGCAAAATAGTTTTTAATTGTCAGAGTTTGAGAATAAAAGAAGAAAGAGATCCTGCCATCATAATATGGTGACCCTGGCCTCAGCTCCAAAGACATGTCCTTCACAAAGGGGTAGAACAGAGATGTCATGCTACATCTGGGCCATTTCTGCTTTGAGCAGAGGAGATCATTGCTGATGCATGCATTAGTAACTGGGTTCAGAGACTAAACCCACTGCTCAGGGGTATTTGGCAAATCATGAAACTCTACATCTCCATCTGGCTCTCTGAAGATCCCCAGGGCACAAAAACAAGTTTGATTTAGTTATAAGAATGCTGAATGCAAAACTAAATGGACAGATAGAAACTAGAAAGTTAAAGATTACCTCGGAGGCTGACTTAGAGATGATTGTCATGCCTGGAAAAGAATCCATTCATTCTGAATGAGTTAGACCACGATTTCAAAGAAGGAAGAACAAGTAGGTCTCATTTTCTGCTGCTCTGAGAGCTCAAGAAGAGTACCCTTGGCTCAGTGTGGTTTTCTTGTAGCATTTTATGTGCGATTAAATGGGAAGTCCCTTTCTGAGAGGGGACTGGATTGTTCTCCTTATCTCAGGTTTCACTGCCCCAGGAGCCCTGGGCTGAAAGTGATAATCTATCCATTCCCTTCTTGTGAAATCTGCCTTATGCTACTTCTGTGTAATTTCAGATGAGTAGTTTGTAGATGTCTGTGCTCTGTGAATATGAAGCCTTTATAGAACTGAGTATATTTTGAAAATCTGATCAAATTGTTCTGGAAAAGAAAGACAGCACTTTTCATCTCATCTAGCAGTGAATAGTGGCCCCGCTCAGGGACATCTAAAGACTGAGCATGCTCTTAATTGATTCTGCATTTCAAAAGAAAACTGGGCTAAAATGACCACAGATAAAAATTAAATAAGGAACAAATGCAATTTTAAGGACCATCTGCCAGAATAGTAGGATTTTAAGGAAGTGTGTTTATGATTTGTGATCTGGTTTTTCAGGAGTTGAATAATTTCCCTCTGGGATTCTTTAAGCGCCATTGCCTCCTCTCCAGGTGGCACTCTTGCCGCGTAGGCTCATTCCTGGGGCAGGTGTGTCAGATGCCTCTTAGTAGATGGCAGGCATGCAGATGAGCCCAGGGTCCCTAACTCAGATACAGATAGTTTCCACTCATCATCATGGGGCTGTTTTAACTTCAGCATCTACTTCTGTTTATTGGCCAAGATCTCTGCTAACTTCTCTTTTGTTTCCTAAGTATAATTCGTATACTGTAAAATTTGCCTTTCTAAAGAGCACAAGTTAGTGACTTTAGTATGTTTTCAATGTCGTAAGTTGCTTGTGTTTTAACAAATGGGAAAGCCCATGACTCTGTTCCTGCGGTTCTGTAACTGAAGAGCCTGTGCTTGGCCCACAGCTACGTGTGGAAGAAGGACAATGCAGTCATCACTCCGTCTAGCAGCTCTAGAATTGGGGTTGAGAAGGACGGGTCCCTCCTCATCAGCCAGACGTGGTCAGGTGATATCGGAGACTACACCTGTGAAATCATATCTGAGGGAGGGAATGATTCCAGGACGGCCCGGCTGGAAGTGATGTGAGTACTGCATGTTGGTGTTAACCGCCCCCTCAGGGTCTGCACTGCTGCGTACAGCCTGTCCTTCTGATGACAGCCACTCCACAGCCACAGCGGTCATGCTGGGACCTGAGCTGGCCAGTCAAGGCCAGCACCTCACACTGTACAGCCATGTAACTTGACCAGTTGGGGTTTTTTTTAACACTTTCATATGATTCATTCTTAGAGCATCTAGTTTGATTAGAGGCTACAAGGCCCATCAATTTTTTTGTCCTATTTCCTGTGCAGATGCTGTATCATGATAGGCTATTGACCTTGCTGGGGTTAAGAAATTGTGAAGCTGGGTATGGTCACAAACCTATAATCCCAGCACTCTGAGAGGCTGAGGCAGGAGGATTGCAAGTTTGAGTCCAGCTTGGGCAACTTGGCAATTTAGTGAGACCCTGTCTTAAAATGAAAAACTGTAAAAAGGACTGGGGAATGTCACTCAGTGAGAAGGCTTGGGTTCAGCTCTTAGTAGCATGAAAAGAAAGGAAAAGAGAAGAGAAGAGGAGAAAATGAAAAGAAGTGAGTTTATTTTTCCACCTGATTGCCCATCAGAGCTTTTGATCAGCGAAAAGTGTCAGGGTCGGCCCACAAAGCAAGACCATTGCCGTGACAACGTACAAGGCTTTGAGCTTAAGTCAGTCCCAGCTGCCTCCCTGTAGGTAAATAGATACTTTCCATTAAGTCTTTTGAAATCCTGAAAATAGCAAGCAGCTTCCCATTACATCTAATCCAGGCCTTCCTGGGGGTCCGGGGGCACAGGGGGGAACCATCGATCTCCTCTGTGCCCGCTCTTTTTCCACAGCTCCCTTTGCACTCACAGAGCTGGAAAATGAAGTACCTGCTGACAAATTTCACTTTTCCAACATGTATTTATTTGCTTTTTAAAAACCATGCCCTCCTAAGATATTCCCAGAACACATGAGTACCAAAAAATACCTGAAATAAGGAATCAAAGCAGTGCGGTGGCCAGGGCAGCAGCCAGACAGGAGACACATACCTGTCCCCCATCCCTGCTAACCCTGTACATGCTGGGCCATCAGGAAAAAGTGGTTAGGGGAAGCTTTCCTTATAGACTCTGCCCACATTGACCAGGGAAGGATTCTGTGTATAGAAATCTTTCCCTTCTTTCCCTAAAGACAGCATAGAAGTCTTGTCTTTGAATCCCTCCCTACCAGCCGAGGGGATAAAAGTGAAAGCAGTGTTTGCTAAGTGCTATGTGTGGCCTTCTGTATCTGCGGCATGCATGAAGGAGTGACCTAGTGCACACTTTCCTACTCTCACCCCTATTTGTGGAATTTAAAAGGTTAATGATGTGGAGCAGCCAGTCCAGAAAGCCCTGTGTTACCTTCAATACCTACAAAAATTCCATTGCTCCTCCAATTCTGGATCTCTCCAGCATGACTCCTTCTTCTCTTCCAGCTAGGGTCTTCCCAACCCCCTGCCATTAGCACTGGACCTCCTCTCTGCCCATCTTGTGCCTGCAAGCCCATCCAGCATGCTGCAGCCACCTGCTGTCTCCATGATGTGGCCGTATCTTCTGCCAGGGTTACAGGAAAGGGTCCTGTTCCCGTGTCCTCTCACATTCCATTGTAGGGTAGCTTTTCCTGCCATTAAGACATGGGATGCCTCCTGCAGTCTTCCCATCCTCCCTGTAGTATGGACATGGGCCACACTGGGGAAAAGGAGCTCTACCTCCTTAGTTCTTTACCTCCTCAAGTGCCTTAGGGCACAATTTTATATTCTGAGTACCTGATAGAGTACCTTATAGGCTGGCTGGCTGGATGAATGAATGAATAAATGAATGAATGAATGAATGAATGATGTATGTGTATGGCCACCCTCCTTCTCCCTTCTTAGCTTTGGTGCTCATGGCTTTTGGTTCCTTATAAGTAAACACATGAGCTCCTGTCCCTGCCAGCAAAGCCCCAGGACATCTCTGCCGTTTCTTCCTCCTTTTTTTCTGGGTCTCAGGTCAGAGATTTCTTTTCTTCTTCATTTTGATGATGTTGGAGAACATCACCAGTGAATTCATGTAACCTTCAAAGCTATTCACATTTTTAAACTACCTTTGAGAACTCTTAGATCATCCATTGTTGGTATCAAATAAATAAGTGTTACCAGTTCATAAAGACTCTGTCAGCAGAAGCCAAATTGCATACTTCCAATATAACACATTCTTTTTATTCTGCACAATTTTTATGTTCTACTGATTTACATATCTTCCCTACTATTTGCTTATTTGATTTCCTCTAAGTAAAATACATTTTTCAGCAAATGTTGCTGTATGTGTAAAATAATAGGCTTTCTGCAGTGGTAAAACACCTCATTTCTAAATATAGAAATATTTGCAGTTTTGTGATTTAAACCAATTTAGATGCCACTGTTTGCAGAGCTGATTGGAAGGCTGTTGGCCTTATGAGTTGCTGGTATCATAAACACCACACTCTTCCATGTCAGAACAAATCAGGAGAGGTGTTCATATCCCTAGATCCAAGCAGGTCTGAAACTCTGCAACATCAGAGATGACAATAATAATGATAATAATAACATGATCATTGGGCATTTGGTGCTTCTCATAGACTTCCAAAATGAGCTCTGTAAGATCTTCTTGATTTACTCCTGGCAAAAAAATAAAGCAAGGGAAAAAAAACTTCTCATACTGCAGAAGAGTCTGAGAGGTACTTACAGCTAAACAGTGTCCTTCAAAGGCCCCAAAACCTGTTTTCTCCTTTCCTTTCCACTTCAGCTAAAAGCTCCTTTGTTAAATATAGAAATTAAGAGCATTGGAAGTGAGCTTTCAAAAATAGACAGTGCTTTGCTGCGTGGTTATGCTTGTTTGCCCAACACTTAGCACTAATTACAGGGCGATGCCTCACACCCGTGACAGTGAGGAACACTGGCAGGTGATCTTTCTTCCCTGCCTCAGTTTCCTCAGCTTGCAAACAGGGCATGATGTGGCTGACCCCAAAGCATGCTGTGAGGGTTGGATGAACCTATTGCATAGGTCTATTGGAGCCCAGCTGAAGAGGGACTCTGGAGGAATTCTGCTCTTGCTGCTTCCTCTCCGTCTTAGGAAAGGGGGCTCCTCCCCCTGCATCTGGGCACTGTGGCCTCTGGCAAGGACTTTCCTTCTGTTACCCCATGTTAGTTTTGACTCACTAGAGGTGTATGCTGCTGCTCATCCTTCCATGCTTGGAACAGTGCCAGGTACATAAGAGGTGCTCAATAAATGTCTGAGTAGGCCTCACTCCACTCACTAAACTAGGAGAGTATGCTGTGCACAACGAGGACCAGTGGTTTATGGGGGCTCTGCCTTAAGCCCCTCTCTAAGAGTCTGGCTTCTCAATTCCATATGGTTCCCTGATGAGTCCTGTAAATTAATAGGTCACTGCTAAATGTTGTCACCCCTTGTTTCAGCTGTGTCTTTCCTTCTAGTCTGCTGGTGCCATAAGAGTAGGAGCTAGTTCCTGAGATGACTCCATATCCCCTAAAGCATCTTGCCCTATTGTGCATACCAGAGGGACCAGGCTCCTAGGGCTTTATGGGTTGATTAATTGTTCAATCATTTACAGACTTAATTAGCATTGCCTCTCTCCTCCTGCATTCAGAGGCGAATTCTTATGAGCCTGCAGTACAAAGAAAACCTAATTTACTGAGCGACTTGAAGACTCGGACCCAGAGGCAGTGGGAGCGGTTTCTTTCAATAAAACTACTTCGGACAAAGCCATAATAAGGAGTGAACAATTTAATACTGAACTCCAGAGTTATCAGGCCCCATCATCTTCCTCCTTACAGCAAAGTTGAGAAGATGGCTTTGACCGAGTCGTCATTCTGGCATCAGCTAGCAATGCTTTTTATAAGGAAAATGCTGCCCAGACCCTCCTCTGCCTGAGCAATTTCCCCACAGCCGCAATTTCACCAATTGCTTTCTCTCTCTCTCTCTCTCCTAAACAGTTTTCCTCACAAACACCTTGACCAGTCTCCTTCCCGTACAGTCTGGGTTTTTGTTGCTGTTGTTGTTAATCTCTGAAATTATCACAGCGTAATTTGCCTGATGGTGAGTCCCTGCTCCCTTCCCACTGTGCAGTGACTCAGCACTGGGCTTCATTTCAGTTGTTCAAGTTCTCTTCCATTTGTCACCCATCTGGGTATCACTGTCTGAGAGTCATGGCAGATCGTTTATCTCCTTTCAAAGTTGGCAGAGAACTGCATGGATGTAATCCTCTCCTATTAGATAAGATTTTCTGAAATGGCTCCAGAATATATTAGAGCCCCATTTATCTATTATTGACAGGTTAGTCAAGGGTCTCACAAACCCTAATTTCCAAGATAAGCAGAACTTATTTAAAGGACTGATTTATACTTTCAATATCTATTAAAAAGTTCCTTGCAGCTGATCATGGTGGTGCATACCTGTAACCCAGCCTGCTGGGAGGCTGAGGCAAAGTCTCAAATTGAAGCTGAGGGTAGGCAACCCTGTCTCAAAATTTAAAAAATTTTTAAAAGGGCTGGAGATGTAACTCAGTGCAAAAGCCCCAGACTCAATTCCCAGTACCACCATCAGGAGAAAAAAGGTATTTTGCATAGCTACACAGGTAATGTTGGGCACAAGAAATATGCTGGGAGATGTTCACATAGCACAGGGGCCAGACCTAGGAAAGACAAACCCCATTCCCGCTGTGAACCCCATGAAGTGTGCAAACTTCCAGCTGACGTGGGCATCACGCTGTGGGGCTTCGGTTGAAGATTCAGGGCTTCCCGAGGTCTCGAGGACAGCAATGTCCCCACACACCCTCAGCTGCAGGGACTCTGTTCCTGCCCTAAATTTCTCAGCACCACTTTGTTCTTAAGTTCTTAGGTCTGTCTTAAAACTCTTCAGAGAAATGTTTTTTTAATCCCTAATCCCAGGCCCTCAGCTCCCAAGCTTGCTGCTCACTGTGCCCCCTCTTAGCGAGCTCGGTACCCTTCTTAGTGATCACTTCTGCTCGGCGGGGAGGCAGAAGTCAGGACCCACCGGACCACAGTAATCGCGTCCTGAAGGCCTCCAAATGAATGAGTGTACCTGGTCCGCAGTTCCACACGCTGTCCGGCTCCAAGACAAAGAAAGGCTGGTCACCATAAGACCAGCTGTTGCTATGTGCACCTTTGACTAGAAAGAGGGACGGACAATAAAGCACTTGTTTTAGTGGGAAGATGATTCATGCCTCACTGTCAGCCCTCAGTAATCCCCCTGACATGTATATTTGGAATTGTTTCCTGTCCTGTCATAAAAGGCCACCTGTGAGCTCCCTACCATCTCACTATATCCTTTTGCAGGAGAAAGGTGACCACCTTCTCTTTGCCAGCTGACTAAATCTTGGGGCTTCCCACTGAACCCTGTAGTTCAGTTTACCACCCAGGCCTCAGGAAAGTCCTGTAAGCAGAAGATCATTTTCTTAAAAAGGAGAAAAGTCAGGACCAGGCAAAGGAAGAGATGCATGAGGCAAGGCCTGGGATGGTCCCGTGTCCTCATCTGGCCTCTACATATTCCCAGCTAGGGAAGCTTAAATTAGCCCCAGTCACCAGGGCTTTTCATGGGGTCTCCCCATGGACTGAAACAGTAGCGAATGATTGAACTCGATCCCTAGTCTCCAGAAGTCAAAAACTGGCACAAACGACCCTGGCTGAAACCCCAGTCCTCTAATCACATGGCTGTCTTTCCAGCCTGACCATTTAAGGGTCACTTCATAAGCATACACGCAGGTGTGGTCATGAAGCCCACCGTAAATAAAAAAGACAGTGCCATTCCTCATGATATTTCAAGGCTTAGAATTCCATCCTAGACCCGATAAATTCTTTATTGTCCAACAGTCTTATTTGGATATCTGAGGTAAGGTTTTTTAAAATGTAGTGAATATTTAGAGTTTTTGTAAAGTTATCACAGTAAAAAAACATATTGCAGTGAATTCCCTCAAAATACTTCTTGCTTTGAACACACTCATTCCATCATTCTTGCTGCTTTCTGAGGAGTTCTTGAAGTCCTCTTTCATGAGTGTCTTCAGTTGTGCTTTAGTTTTGCTGTTTCAGTGTCCTGGATTGATTCAAAATGTTTTCCTTTCATTGTCATTTTAACTTTGAGAAAGAGCCAGAAGTCACACAGTGCCAGATCCAGAGAATGAGGTGGATGAGGATACACTAAAGTTTTTGTGAGCCTGCTTTTCCATTGGACGTTACTTGACAGCAGCATTCACCATATTTTTTTAAAATCATACCTCATGAAGACAGTCATGAGAATGGGCTTCCAGAACTGCTTCAGAAAGTGGCAAGAATGATGGGAGAAGTGTGTTTGAAGCAAAGGGGAAGTATTTTAAGGTATTTTAATGGCAGTGTATCTTTCACTGTAATACATGTTTAAAAATTTTTTTTTTTTTTTGTCGTTTTCAAACAGAGTCTTAATGTGTAGCTCAGGCTGGCCTTGAGCTCATTTTGTAGCCCAGGCTGGTCTCGAACTTGCAGTGGTCCTCCTGCCTAAGCCTCCCGAGCACTGGGATTACAGGCGTACGCCACCACACCCAGCTAAAAATTTACACATTCACTATATATTTATTTATCCAAGTTTATCCCTGGTTTGTTTTCAGGTATAGCTATTTCATCCCTTGTTTGGTTTCAGATAAAACCAGTTCAGACTGAAAGAAAAAGAGGAAATGGGGCCTGGGAGAGTTAGGGTAGAGATTTTTATCCAGATGTTTCCTGTATATTGGTTTTTATTGGAAATCTAATGCAGTTCAGTTATTGGAAAGCTCAAGTAGAAATAATGGTCCCTTTCTGATTTAAAACTTAATTCACAGTTAGGGGGAAAACAAGATAACATTCCAGGCTCAGGTTTATGCTTTACTGTGCTAATGTACAATGTAGTTGCCATCTACATGAGAAATATTGGTTAGTTTATAAATGGTATGCATGAGCCAGCGAGAGCTGTGTTTCATAGGTACCTAGAAGCACAGAACAGCTTAATAAATTTCAAAGTATAATGAGTACATTTTTAAAATTAAAAATATCAAGTTTAATTATGGCTTTTTTTTTTCTGACCTATGTGGCTTAGCAGTAACCAATGTCTGAGAAAGACCCAAACTAGGTAGTGAATAAAACATTACCCCTTACCCCAGCATTGCCTGGGAACATTTACAGAAAGGGAAGCCATTTAGAATGTACCATAGGGCAGGTGCTGCTCTCAGACCTGGGAGATGGATGGTTAAATACTGGACTTGGGCAGCTCATGACTTCAAGGCTGCAGGACCGTGGCTGGGACACACTTCACTGTAGGGTTTGCAGCTGTCACCAGTAAATCCCAGTAACAACTTTTTTATTAGGAATTTCTCCTTAGAATTTATTAGCTTTAATTGCATTTCCATTTTATAGCCCTGCTGATGTGTTATTTACCATTTCCATGGGATTTTCGGTAGTGTTTTTACCACATTTCCTTTTAAGTGCCTCCCCCAAGCCCCCATTATCCAACAGAAGACAGAATGACAATATAACCTCATGCTGTCAATAAATGAGGTGCCTCTGTTTGTAGAGGAATACATATGGGTGCTTTTGCTCTTAACTCCAAATGGCTACTGGGAAAACTTTCACACTGAATCATATTTGCCAGGGCTTTTCCTGTTTATATATGCTTTGCTGCATTTCCATTACCAGCTTCTGGTTGTTTAAAAAAATTGTTGACCAGATTTTCTCTATTAAATAATATACTATGTAAAAATGTGCACACATGCTGCCCCATTTAAGTTGCAATGGCATCAGGTGTTTTGGTACCACAGGGATTCAATCAAATTATGTTTAGAAAACAGTGACACTGAGAGTGATTTGAGCTGGGCTTGGTTCCTTGTTAGGGAGAGGAGGTGTGAGTAGTGTTTGGGTTTGGGTGTATGTCAAGTCTGCCATTCCCCAGCCTCACACCAGGACTCCCTGGCATGAGTGCCCAGCCAACCATCCATCTGATGTGCGTTCCCTCTCGTCCCTTTTCTTCATTCCAGTGAGCTGCCCCACCCACCTCAGAACCTCCTGGCCAGCCTGAGCCCCTCACGAAGCCATGCTGTGGTGCTCTCCTGGGTCCGGCCCTTCGATGGGAACAGCCCTGTTCTTCACTACATTGTGGAGCTGTCTGAAAACAGTGAGTAGCAGAACTGAATTGTTGCTTTCAATAGTCATGAGATTTTCTCTTGAGCTTGTGATGTCCTAAACGTTACTGCTGGTCCAGACCTGCAACCGCCAGAGAAATGTCATGATGCTTTACAGGTTGCTCACACTTTAGGAAAGCCGAAGGCAACGTGTGCTGGGAGGAGAACAGGAAGCATTGTTAGAGGGCTCCTGTGAAGGTCTGGGTGTGGCTAAGACAGAGTGCACTTGGGAAGGGACAAGGGTGCCTCTCGCAGGGGCTAGCTTGAGAGTTTTCACCAACAACGGTGCACATCTTTGGGATTTTTCTCTGGTGTAGACGTGGTGCCAAGTATAGATCAGACCTGTTCATCCTCCCTACTTCAACCTCTAATCAGTTCCTTTTTTAGACAACTCCCCTCCTGGGTTACCCAGCAGTTTGGCTTTTCTCCCGCCTGCTGGCCACCCCTGCCTCTGCCCCTCCACTGGTCCATGGCATGCTCCATGAGCTTGCTTCTGGTTCCTCCTGCTCTCCCAGCATACTCTCCTATGACACGATGGCCACCTTTCCCTTTGTGACACATGTGCCTCTGTTTGACCCAGACCTCCAGTATGGAGTCCTGTGATAGTGGTCACAAAGACATCACACACTTTGGGCTTAAAACTACATTTCAGGCTTTTAACCCTGACTTTGTTCTCATCACTCCACTGTAACCATTCCATCCTGTTGCCAGAATCCTTCCCTTCTGTATTACTTAAGCCAGAGCCTGAGCCTTTTCCCCTCTGCCCTACCCAGCACCTGGCTGCAGTGATAGTCCTGTCCTTTTATGTTCTAGATCAGCCAAAATCTACTCCCTTCATTCTCCAGATCATTGTCTCTTACCAGGGAGAGGAGATGGCATTAGTCATTAAAATAACCATTGAGAAGTCAAAGTTTTGCTGAGAACATCATGGTTGTGTAGCCTGTGAATGTGACAGGTGCAGAAATCTGACAAATATCCACTGGAAAGACAACCCCTTTGGGCATCTGTCTGCCTGAGACTGAGAACTGTGTTCTATCTTCCTTTGTGTCCCTGATCCCTAGCACTTAGTAGGTACTCAGCAAATGAACTAACAAGAATCTCTCTGCTATAGCTCCCATGACAGACTCTAAATTATAGTCCTAGGTCATCTGTCCAAAGGGAATGTTCTACCTTTCCCAGTTTACATCAAATAAGGTATTACTTCAAAATACCATTCAACCCATTTTCTCAACTGATCGAATGACTCATTCTTCCAAGAAGTCAGACATTTTGCCTAAGTAATGATTATGTGTAATAATTCACCCACTCACTTATTCACCTACCCACTCATTCATCCTTTCACCCATCTGTCCATTAGTAAGTGTTGATTAGTCACTTAATCTATGCCAGGCATTCTGTTAAGTGCTGTTCTGCAGAGATTAAGTGATCCGCTTCAACTGTGAAGTGCAAGGAGATAGATCCATCAGGGTCTGTCTCACTAGTTTTTTGTACTTGTGGTATAGGAGATGGACCTCAGGGCCTTGCACAAGCTATGAAGGTACTCCAGCACTGAGCTGCACCCTCAGCCTGGGTGTCGCTACTCTGACTGGTGCTTGCCACATGTTGGGCAATCCTGTAGGTGTTCAGTTTGCTTCATTTCACTGAGAAAGGAACAAGGTCATCGATGGCCCTCAGGGGCCTCTGACTCTCCTGACAGGGCCCATCTTGGAGCTGGATGAGATCCAGCTGTTTTGCCTTCAGAGCCTCTAATGAAGGAGTCATTACACAAAGAATTGAGTATGGAAGAGGAGGTGGTTGTCTCTTGGCTGTCCCTAATATCAATAGTGTAAGTCTGTGGCCTTGGCTAAAGCAGTACGTGCTCCTGCCAATTGGTGTGTTGTGTGCTTTCCTGTCATGGCAAATAGAAGACCTGATCCATCATCTGAGCCAATGATCAGGTTTTTATTTTTATTAGGAATGAGTGCCCTTAAGAAGCAGCTGAACATACTGGCTAATTATAGCCAGAAAGAACAGCTTAGCAGCACGTATACTAAAATGGAAATTGCATTTGGCCTACTCTCAGCTCTGTGCAAGGGGACAGTGCTAAATAACCTCATCCAGCAGTCCATCCACCCAGCTATTTAGGGAGCCCCTGTGGTCAGCTCCTCCTGGAAACCATAGATCCTGCAGGGAGCAAAGGGACATCGTTTAATGGCTGAGGCAGGTGCTTCATAACACCTACCCTCACAACATTCCCAGCACCACAGAAAGAAGGACCTCTTTGGGGCTTTATAGAGCAGAATTCTGGAGCTTCAGTTGAATATTTTTCCATGCTCTTGACTAGACTAGAAACCCTGTGTGCAGGTATTGGGTCCTCTCTGTGTAAGTGTCCTGTGGTTTTCCCTCTGAAGTTTGATGGTTCTTTTGTCCCATGTACCTCTTAGTGAGCTGAAGGCATAGAGAGGGACTACAGTAACCTACAGCCCCATTCAAGCTACCTGCTGGGTGGGCTGAGAAGTACAGAGGGTCAGGCCAAGTGGCAGGTGAGGGAATCCTGGAGGGTTCATTGAGATACTGCAGGTTTGATAGCCTAGAAACAGTATGAAAATTCTGTTGAATTATGGCAGTATTTGTCCCACTTTCTAAAATGTTTGTTGGTCATGGTCAAGTATGATCTGTCTTTGATTTTGTGATGATCACAAGGAGGGTAACTGTCAGGAAAAAATTGTGAAAGACTTTGAAGTGAACCCTATATGGCTGGCATCTAGATGTCCCCTGCAAAGCTTCATGCACTCATAGGCGGGGAATTTCAAAGGTGGTTGGATTAGGATGTGATACTGGGATTAAGAGGATGGATAAGGAAAGACTCACTTTGCATGTGGTTGGCACCATCCAGAAGACCGGTATCTTGGGTGGGGTAAAAGGGAGAGGCAGGCCCAGTGCTGCTGTGTTTGCTTGCTGCTTACTTCTTACTGACTCCTGCTTGCTCTACCTCGAATTCTTTCTCTTCTGCAATGCCCCTCTGTGAGGCCACCCTGCCTTGGAGCCAACCAACTATGGACTGAAACCTCTGCATACTGTGAGCTAAAATAAACCTTTCCTCCTTTAACTTGTGAGTGTTGAGTACTTTGTCCCAACAGTGAGAAAAGTAACCAGGACAGAACCCAAAACAGATTATTAGTTATATCATCCAGTATCCACCATATTATCTGATTTCTTAGGCCCTGCAGTTTTCATTGCCTTTGGACCATTTTACAACTCTGTAAATTGTAGAAAACTTAACAGTAATACAAATGATTCTTGTCTATAGAAATGCAAATAGATGCAAATAAATCTTACCCCGTAGAATATAAAAATGCAATTGGATGTTGACCAGTGTGCATCTATTTGTAAATTCATTTTAGCATCATCAACATATGTATGTGTTTTGAATTCTCCTTTGATACAACTACAACATCTTACTAGTTCCCTCATAAATCACTGAGCTAATGAAATTGCTGATACATGTTCATTTTGTATCTGTTTAAGAGCAGTGATTTTCCTTTTTATAAAATTATCTTTGAGCATGAATGCATTGGTATCACACATTATTAGAAATGCAAATACTGATATGCAAATACTCCTCTAATGCAACAGTTGCCACAGGTATCCATGGTAGCACTGATATTTGGGACAAGCCATCTTAGTTCTTAAACTGAGCCTCTGCCAGTTTTCCATGGGCTGAACTAAAGCATCTCACTACTGGAATAGAATAATGGTGATCTTTTACCAGTTAGTAAGAAAAACTAAAATCATGTTTTAGACCTCAGTGCCAGCTGCCATGTGTCTCTTGGTAAGTACTTGTAGGTAACAAGCACTGATATATTAAAAATTCAGAATACTTCATCCTACTTAGTTCTCCTGTTAGTTTTCTAGTGGATATGAGTATTTATAGTTGTTATTTTATACTAAATGCAAAATAAGCTAAATACAAAATAACTCCTTTTTGAAGTTATATATATGGTCATTAACAAATATTTATAAATGGCTCAAAACATAAGGAATAAAGATCATCTCTACAGTCCTTCATGTAGAAGAACAAGCCTTGCACCTCTGCCCTTAGCCTTTCTCTACCCTCCTCCTGGCCTGGGCTCATCACTTAGCCCCTCTTTGCCTTCTGCCTTCAAATTCTCCTTCTCCTGACTCCTTCTGCATCAAACCAGTGGGCTTGAGGAATCGTCTCAGCCCCCCAGCCTCTCACTCACTATTTTGAAAGACAGAGCCACTGAACATGGATCAGTCCACATCCCCCATTCTTCTCGACCTGCAATGCTCTTGATTATTCCCACCACTTATAGTGCTTTGTTCCCATGATTTATCTTCTGTCTCTCTCTTCATCATTATCCCTTATCCTCTTGGTCTTTGACCACATGTACTGAACGGTCTGAAGACTGTTTTCTCTCATACCTCTAAAATATGGAGTTCCCAGGTTTTTCTTGCTCAGTATGGCCTTCTCATCCCACCTACTTGCCCCAATGATCTCATATATGCCCATGTTGTGCCTTTCACATACCATGAGTACACATGTTTCCAACTAAGACCTCTCCTTGAACTTCACACATCTTTACCTGGATGTCCTATAGGCTCCTCACAGTCAAACTACCTCATACAGAACTTGCCATCTCCACTGCAAAATGGTTCCTCTTCTAAATTAGAGATGGAAATTTACTCTTGTCTCCTTTGCCATTCCCCTTCTCTATAAATATATCAATGAATTCTGTTGGTTTTACTTACAAATTTTTATCTAGTCCATTGTCCTTCTTGGTTCCCATGACTGCTGGCGCTGACCAGCTCCCAATCCATTGCACTGCTCTGTGGGTGTGTCCTCCACCAGGACTCATTCCCTAACCCTGCAGGGATAGTAACACAAAGTGCACACCTGGTCCAGTCACTCCCTGCCTGAACCCTTCAGAGCTCTACAGAAGAGGCACTGGCAGCAAGGCGGGAGTCCCCCTCTTCATCGGTTTGGAGTTCC